TCTTTTTTTATCATGCTTTTTTTCAGCAGAGGGCAAGAAAGTCCAGTTCACAGTCAAGCTCTCAGTATAACTGACCATTCAATGCTGAAAACGAAATTTTAATTGCCAAGTTTCGTTTTGCAAGTAGCTTCTGGGCATAGAAACACATTTTCCCTGAACTTATGACTCTCTGAAGGTATTAAAAATTAATAACATTTCATGGTGCTAAAAATTCCTACAGATTCTCTGAAAGTGTTTGTAGTGTTAAGAAACTGCAGTGATGAAACAGAGTGGTACATACTTCTGCAACTTAGTGATGAGCTGAACAACCTTAAAATGACTTGTTCCTCTTGTGTCAGATGTTGGAGATTTTATATGAGAGTGTACATGCACAAGTATTGTGTGATAACAATTCATTTGTATTTATTTCTACAAATAAATTCGGGAGGTTTTTGCTATATTATGACAATCGAGGGCGGCCTGTTTGGAGTGAACATTTCTCAGTGAAATAAAGTATTTATGTTTGCACATCACTACAGTGAACTGTGATTTTTTTTTGTGGCTTATTTGTTTCAATGATTTAGCATTTCCAACAGCCCTCGTAGATTATTTGGTTTCATATTTTAAAGATGTTCCAGTTCTGCACTGTGCCCTGCAGTGCTGTATTTGAACGGTTTCTGTTTGACTCATCTTATTTACCTCTGATGCTGGCATCATGGAGTCAGCAGACATCAGACTTCAATAAAATAAAACAGCATTAACACAAAACTAATCTGCTAGTGTAAGGCTTTAGTATCAAATTTAAAATTTAGTTCCAGGATTAATTAATTGATCATTCTGAAATAATAATAATCTGTAAAATCTTAACAAAATCCTCACCATCATGTTTAGAGATGAAGCTGGAGTCCAGGATACCTACCGAACATATCTATAAAGATGAAATAACCCTGTGGTTAGGAGCAGAGCCCTGCAAGCTTTCAGGTAAACTGCTCATGTCAATATGCAGTCTAAAATCAGATGTATTTGAAATCAGCTTTAAGTGGAAAATAAATCAATGTGAATCCTTCTGTCTGGACACACAGCTCTGCTTTGTTCTTTTTCTCTCTCAGGAGCAAAGACAGATGAAGTCTTGAGGCAGTTTGCAGAATATTTCTTTGAGTTTTGCAATCGCTCAGTGATCATGCTGCAGAGGAGGAGGAAATTTGTTTGAAGACTTTGGATTCACTTCATAGCTACATCGCCTTCTCCTAAAAGGTGCCTGCCCCGTATTCATCCCATCTTCTGTAGGGCTACATCCTTTTATTCTGGTTTGATGTCTGTTGTGCCACAAGGAGAAAACATTGATTCACTGTTTGATTCTTGCAGGAGATGAATGCATCGTTTTGGGTGGAGAGGAACCCTGATGGCACCATGCTCCTCCACTATTATTAACACTGCAGAGGACTATGCCACATTGTTCCTGGTAAACAAAATCACATCCTCTAGATCCTCTAGTTAAATGAATGGTCTGTATAACAAGCTCTGCATGTCAAAAAGAAGAAAACATAATTTTGTAAACTATGAAAAGAGCCTTTTACACTGATCATCTCTGTCCTCAGCCTCTTTATGAGATAAATATAACTATGGATTCTCTGCATTGTCAATGTTTCCCTTAAGTATACATGTGACGCTTTGGATCAGACTGGAAGAACAGTATCTGTTATATGTTTGTATTTTCTATCAAATCCATTTTTTCTGAAAGTTACTGTCTCCCAATAACTTTGGAAAAATGTTGAGTATCTTTGCATATTGCTTCTTGCAGTATGGTGAGGGATCTGCATTCAGCCATTTACACAGCTATCATTCATACATATTTTAAACTGTTCCACAGAGTGACACATAATTGTAACACTAAATGAGCTTCTTAGAAATTGTGAAAACGAAACAGAATGGTACTTAGTTGAATACGTACGTCCAACAAGGCCCAACAGTCCTCTTGAGTTCAATCAAGCTGCACCATACAACACACGTTCATAGATATCAGTCCCCGATTATTTTCATCGAGGTCCATGAAATATTTCCTAGGAAATTGGTGAAAATGTACCTGGTAGATTGTGTCCAATCTGGCAAAGTTAAAGAGAAAAAAGATTCCCGTATCCTCCCATCTATCAGGATCCATACAAAAATAAAATGGTTTCTTATTTGGCCCATTCCCCATCACTTCACAAGACCTCTGGAAATCTGTTGAGTAGTATAATGCTCTGGTCAAGCAAACAAACAAACAAACCAACAAACAAACAGAAAAGAAAGAAACCCTCCCTAGCAAAGAGAAAACAATATGCTACAGATAATAGTTTACAATGACTACTGTTTATAAAGGCCATGTATATTTACAGCGAGCCTTTGATACGGGAAAGCTAATACTATTTGGACTAAAAAAATAAAATACACTCTTGATGATCACTGACAAGAAACACGTCCTGTGTTTAAACACACACGTGGCCCCTCGACAACCCATTTCAGTTTTCAACACGAAAAGAAACAAGGATGAATAAACCATGAGTCTGATGCTGCTCACGAGGCCTGAGTCACCACAATCGTCTGTAAAAGGGCTGTCACCTGCAGGTGTATGTCTCACTCCAAAACGACACCCCCGGGTTGAGAAGAGGAGTCCGGACACCTGATCCTCGCTGCAGAGGGCCCCATGTCTCATCATCGTTGGCCCTGCATGGATCGCCATGGCCTGATGAAAACAACCCCTGTAACCAGAGTCTTCTGTTTGTGTGGTCAGGTGTGATAAAATCGGTCGGCCGGCTCGCTCATTAAGAGCCCAATCTACACTGACCTAGATGGAGAGGGTTAGTCTGCAGGCTCAGATCATGTCTGCACTTTGTCCCATGGGCCACAAAGTACTTAAGTGTACGTTCAAGAATCTGTCTCCATTATGGAGGCCAGCTCGGAGATTTTAGGCTCCTCCTGGTGTTTGCTCAGAACTGGACGGTTGGTGTAAATGTCGTCCACAGGTAGAAGGAAGGTGACAGTTTTTACCTTGGCCCTAAAAAGGAAAGAAATCACAAGTGTTATATGGCTACAGACATTCAACCGTAGCTTCAGTTTTTATATATTTGAATTTAAACTAAATTTTACTCAATCATTTTACTTTAAAGCTTTCTTTCTGGGATATAAAGTTTCTGTACCGGTTTTTGTGGACATATTCCTGCAGGGAGTGTCTGTTGGAAACTTTTCCCACGTCTCTCACTGGGTTAACAAAGATGCTGTTCCCGTGCTGGATTTCTTCTTGTAGCCTTCTCCATCCATTCTCACCCCGCCGCACCCTGTCAGTCCTTCCCTCTCTCAGTGTCACCCCAGACAGGTTGGAGCTTATGGAGTACCTCCGGACAGTCATGACAGCGTTCTCTGTGACGTGATGCGAATGTGACGCATTGGAGAAATGGAAAGAATAAAAACAGTATATGGACAAGTAGTTAAATGGTATATTAATACGCCAAATAAAAAATGTGATAACTTCCATATTCCTTTAACTAATTTCTCATATTGTGTTTCTTGTGTCTGTGCATTTTTGTGGAAAAAATAGAATAAGAGACGAATGAGTTGAATTATGGAATCCAGCATTGGAGTTTAAAGGACTAAAATTATATTAGTTATATTTTCACTCTTAATCTTGAAACAATTTAATGAAGGTTGATTTAAAGGATTGGAATCAGGGGTAGAGCCACGGGGCCAGGGGGGCACTGGCCCCAGCTCCAATCTGATTGCCCCTTCTAACAATAAATGTGACAACTAGATAAGAATTGTTATTTTCTAAACTTGTTTAAAGTAGCCTACACATGAACAAGGAACAATTTTAGAAATGGTTTCATTGAGGTGTGGTTTTGCTTGAAATTCACACATTGTTTAACAGATCATTATCTCAGTGCTCTATAGATGCCTCCTCATGTTTTATACGAACAGTAAAACAACATATTTAATAGCCACACTTCTTTCCTCTTACCCTTGTATTGTCCCTCCAGGACCGGTGCAGACACATTTCGTCTCAGGTTCACATAGGGGTTCTCCAGTGTCGAAGACACCGGGCTGTCCGTCCTCTGACCGTTGTCCCCCCTCAGCTCTTGGTTCTCCGCCTCCAGCTTCTTGATGTCATCGCGCATCTCCATGATGACCTGCGCCAGGCTGCGGGTGCTCTCCATGGTGCTGCTGCTGCGCTGCCAGAACCACGGCTTCCCAAACACCGACGGGGAGTCACGCAGGAGAAGCTCACCCTGCGGCTGTGGATTTAACATGCTGCTCCCAAATGCTTTTTGTTGTCCTTTCCCTGTGTGTGTGTGTCTCTCTCTCTCAATCTCAGTCCAGATCTTGTTCTGGGGCAGATTATGTCGCCTTTCACCACTTATACAGCTGAAAGGGCTCCGGTGATCAGCCAGCACCATACAAAGGATGTTTTATTCATCAGCCCCGGCGTCCGGTTTCAGGAAAACTAAGCAGGGGTCGGAAATGAAATGCGCACTGCACAAGAGCTTGGATGGCAAGAGACCCAGTGGACCTGCAGAAACACTGATAAAGCAAAGGTTTTTACTGCTTATCGATAATATAACATGTGTAGCAACTTTATATTCAAGCTTAAGAGCAGATAAGACATCTCAGATTTTTTTGGCACCTCACACCTCCTCTTGTAATGTCCATGTCTGTGTTGGGATTACAATATCCTCCCTCTAAAATATTAATCAAGTCTGTCAGTGAAGATAAATCTTAGAGGAAAACAAAGAAAAAGTAATTTCTTATGTTCTCAGTGACGCAGAAGGACATTTGAATAAGACAGAGCATTTAAAATGAAGGTTAAGTCGATTCATTTCACAATATAGACTAAACTTATGTAAATGTAGAATACGAGAACGTTAATGCTGCCATAAACGTATCCTATTTTACCTCCCAGGTGACCTTAAAATAAATAAGTTTGTCTTTTGATTTTCATCACCCCTGTCAAGCACCTAGAGTTGATCAAGTTTGGATTTTTGTGCTTTTCAATACTCTCTGAAGTTCTTTATGTAAATCTTAAACTTTGGAGCTCACTCACTGTGAGGTTTATTCAGTCCACCAGGAAAACAGAGAGACATGCCGGCTGGGCCCCAATTGAAACCCACTAAATATTTGGTCCTCTGTCTCATTAACATCCATGTTGTTTGATAAAGTCAAAGGTCAGATGTTAACCCAACGATGACATGGGTAAAATAGATGAAAACAAAACAGCTGTTTGATAAATTAGAGAAGAAGGAATCACTGCAGCAGACATTAAACACACGGTTTGCACACAAAGGAGAACATTTCAGATAATTACGCTCAATGACAGTTCATACAGCTGAGATTGTGCAGTCAGGAGCCGGAATAGACCAGATTATAACCCATTCTGCCAAGAGCAGACAGTGTTTGAGCAGCTGGCCTGATCCCCACATGACGTGATGTATAACAGTGCCCACATACTTCTACAAAATACTTTCAGGAAGAGCCATTATCTGTGAGTTAAATATGACACATTGTGCCTGTAGTGTAACCAGACTGAATGGTGCTGGCTCGGAGCAACCTGACCCTGTTGGGAGTCGAGGCCACTGAGAGAGACAGACAGGCACACACAAGCCTGTCTGCACAGGAGAGAAACCCAATCGGCCCGCTCTTTCTGGTTCATGAAATAGGTTACAAAGATGGATGGGAGGTGAGAGAGACGAGACTCTGATATACCGATTGGCTGGGAGGAAAGGAAGTTTCGAAGAAGAGGTGCTGCAGGAGGTCAGTGAAACTCAATCTGCTGCACCTCAGGTGTGCAACCACAGAAGGAGACTAAAGAGAAAAGGTAGAAATGTGTCAGCTTCAGAAATACAAACATTGAAGTGAGAGCGATGGACGACCACATGATGTCTTTTACCACCAGCTGTATGTTCAGGGCCACTTAACCTTTTTATATGAGCAGGGCCATAGACCCAAGGCTTAGCATCAATAAGTAAACAACCACTCTGCTGCTCTCTCACTGCATGGTCAGTAATTATAGACAGCTATTGGAGAAAAAAAAAAACTGACACCAGATCCCACCTCAGTGTGCACGCCACATTCTCACATCATTTCACTTTCAACTAGAATGTCCTAG